ATTTTTCTGTGGGGGGGAGGGGGGGAGTTCGAGTTCAGTTCGAGTTCAATTCGATATTCTACTTCTACTGAGGGAGGGGGGAAGTTCGAGTTCAGTTCGAGTTCGAGTTCAATTCGAGTTCAGTTCGAGATCGAATTCAGTTCGAGTTCAATTCGAAGTTCATTTTTTGTGGGGGGGAGGGGGGAGTTCGAGTTCAGTTCGAGTTCGAGTTCAATTCGATATTCTACTTCTGCTCGGGGAGGGGGGAAGTTCGAGTTCAGTTTGAGTTCGAGTCCAGTTCGAGTTCAGTTCCAAGTTTGATTTTGGGGGGGAGGGGGGGGAGTTCGAGTTCAGTTCGAGTTCTGTTGGGGTACATTATGGTTTGCTCTCTCATTCTCCATTTGGTGGTTCATTTTTTGCTCGCTTCGCTCTTTCGCACTCCTTCTTCCTTCTTCTGCTACGGGCCATGCGCTCGCTTCGAAGCCATGCCTAAAACTGCGACGTCTCGCAATCCGTCCGGTCTACCTTCAGGACCCAGATAACACTCATACCCAAACCATTGCCAGTCAACAGGTCCAATCTTCGTGACTTTCTTGGCGGGGACGTCGCGGGGTTCAACGGTGCTATGCGATAGTTGTGCAGGGTGTGTGTTGGCCCACTTTACTTTGGATTCCTGGCAACACCTCGTTGGCGAAGGCAAAGACTCGTCACTCCTCTTGGGCCCATCTCTAAGATGGAACCCTTCTCTTGTCTGGTCTCTCTTTGTCTCTCCTGTTTGATCCTTGAAATTCATGAACTTTTGTGCTTCATCAAAATAACTCACTACTCCAACGCTCGTCAGGCATCATGGAGCTGAGGAGTACGTGTGGGTAGAGCAAACTTGTTCTTCTTCTCTTCTTCTTAGAGAGTTTTTTTCTGAGCACTTCGCAGGCTTGCCTCCTGAATGCGCTGCGCCTCGCGGTCTGCAGCCTCTTTGAGCTCTTGCTCCTGCTGTGAAGATCATCCGATGAGTACAATGAGTACTACGAGTACCCGCATCTGAACGACAAACATCCGGGATAGCTGGCAAGTATCCTCGGCGGAGCGCTTGGCAATCAACGCGTTCTTCTCCTGGATATGGGCTCTGAAGCTACAAGGGCAACCATTCGATCCTCCACCTGCATTGAGAGACCAGAAAGGCCGCAGCTTGGCCTGCTCCATTCGCCTGAGCTCCTCCTTTTGTCTCTCCAGCTCCTCACGCCGCTGCACTGCCTCTGCCTGTCAGACTTCCAGAAGGAGGCAACGCGTCTCAGACCTTCCCCTGATTATATATATATATGTATATAATTAGGAGGTGGGGGGCTGCCTCTTGGATGGCCTTTTGCTGCCTCAGCTCTTCGCGCAGCTGCTCCAGCTTGGCCTCAGGGACTCAGGGAACACCATGCGAGCCAAAGACGTCTACAAACATACTCCGGTGCGACACAGGCCTTCTCCTGGTTTGCCAGGTCTTCCTGCCTGAGCCGCTCTTTGTCAAGCTCCTGTCTGTAGGCTAACTGGGTCCTTGCTCATTTTTCAACGCGGATTTTGCCGCGCAATGCGGGAGTCCTCGCGAGTTGCTTCTAGTTCCGACTTCCGTTTCGCAGCTTCCTCCTCCTCTTTCTGCAACTGCGCCTGGATTTTTGAAGTCAAGAAAATGACCATAAGCCAACAGTCCCTCAGCGCGTGACCTGCTTCAGTTTCATTGGATCCTCTCCAGGAAGCGGCGGCGCTGGTCTCACCTCAGAAGCGAGGGCTTCTTCAGCTGAAGCCAAAGCATTTGCAAATTGACATGACAAACCGGTGACAAGGAAACATCGCATAATGTCGCATACAGCCTGAAGTCCAAGTTTGCAACCCAGCCAAGGCGTGTGGTTCTGTACAGTACCTCACCCTGGCCAGGCATTTCCAGCCGAACCTTTGCCAAGAGGCGCTTGAGCCCACAACCCAAGTCAATATCATTGCAAGGTTGAGCTTTCAGGTTGGGACGTCGCAATCACGACGTGGTCCCCTCACGTCTTGCTTCGTCACCTAAATTGTGACACAGCTCTGATGCTCTGCGTGCTGCCGGTTGTTATCGTTAATAGCGGGCAAGTGGCTGACATTATGATTTCATCATCGTCAACCTTCAAAGGGCACGCTGGCTTTGGCATTCCATCATTCCGAAGCCATAAAAAGGCCTCATAGTTGCCCTCACAGCTCCAGGGTGGTTGACCGCCCTCGAAATAGTTCAGCTGCGGAATGCACTCCAAGGTACATCTGGCAGAGTGGCAGCCAAGTATCATGACTGCTACACTGCAGGCTGGGATGGGCTGAGCAACACTAAACACCTGCCTGTGCGAGTTGTACATGACAAACTCATAAGTGACCTCAGCACGGCTGGCTCTGCGGGTCTCGCGCACACATGCAAATTAGAGCCAAGCGGCATGATCTCCAGGACAAGTTACATCTTTGGCGCTCCCGACGTAAACTCCGAGTTTGGGCGGCATTTCACCCATGCCCGCACACGCTGCAGGCTGTCCCGCATGGAAAAAAAACTCGGTGCGCACAGGTTGTCGCTAGGTCTGTTCGTAAGAGAAGCTCGTCATGTAGCTGCTGCTGCCAGCTGTCTTCCTGAATTTGTGGCTTTGGCTGCGCTCTGTAGGAAACCAACTACCATTGGATGCTGCATGCTCCTTCCTGCACGTATGCCAAAGAGCTGCCGGCTGAACCGTGACGTCGAAAGCCATGACATTTCTGCTGGATGCATGACGCAGCTTCCCGTCTTGGCAGATGCAGCTCACATTGCGCAGCACACTTGAACCCATGTTTGCGAAGCTGCCTTTGATCTCTGCGCAAGATCCGAGTGCCAGCTTGTGCTAGCGCGGCTGTCGTTAAAAAAAGGTCTATAGACGCTATGAAGCGACAAAACTCTTGAAGTGGAACACAGATTTGAATAGTCGAAGCAGCTTAATCTCCCCGCGGACGCCAGAATTTTGACACCCCTTTCAGAAGCATCTGCAAATGCCAAGTGCCACAGGCAGCTATCGCAGGCATGGTCTCTCAAACCTCGCCAGGTCCGGGGGCTGGAGCCTCGATGACCTGACAATCGCCACTCACAACTCTTTCTCTTCGCTTCCTTCGAGTGGTTGCTGTGCGAAGCCTCCCAAAGAGCGTAGCCGTTGGTGTTCACGTTCCTTCGGCACTGGCTCATACTGGCAGCTGGGTGGGTCCACATGAAGCTCGATAGACTCCATGTCATGACATATGACGTATATGACTCGTGCATGCCATAGACAGACAAATGACATGTTGCCTCCCTGTCCAGCTTTGCGATCTGTCCGAAACTGAGGAATCCGCGCGTAGTTCACCGAGTCGAACTTCACAGTGACAGGGTACTTCACCTCTGGCTTCTGGTTCACATTCCTTGGGTGCGACTGGGAAGTGTCGGTTTAAGCGGCCTCCAGCAGACTACCTGAAGATCAGCCAAGGCCGCCAAGCAGCACAACCTGTCCCCTCTGCTGGAACCAGTAGGACTCAGGCCGCAGGATCTTTACCCACGAACCCTTCCTGGGCGGGTATGCGGGCTTGGCTGATTGACAGCTCAACAGAGACATGGGGTGTGCCCAAATTTTGCGTATTGTCGTGTTCCGTGCCTGCAATCTGTTACATGCGCCTTGAAATGAGAGCATCTGACATACCCCTCGTCGCGGTTTTACGGCCCCTGCAGAAAGTCATGCTCTGTTACTTAAGCCCTAATGCGGTATGCAACCAATCATTGCAAGGCTTGCTCAAGGACGAGGTGCTTGGGACCAACCCATGGTCCTTTTGCCTTCTTCTTTGGGGCCTTCTTTGCCTTCATCGCGGGGCCGCGCATATCAAAGCAGCATGCACCCAGTGCCTCCGTGCCTCTGCCCGCAGCGCAGTTCGATGGTTTGGGACTGAGACAGCCGAGCTGGCGTAGGGGCCAACAAAGCAGCGTGCAGCACACCAGGCTGCTGTCAGGAGGAAGAGGACCTGATGCACTCTGGCCAATTCCGAAGACTTGTGACATCTGGATACTTCTAGGTGTCTGGGTGCACTGCAGAGACAGCACGTGCCATGGTTCAAACAGCTGTGCGCTTTGGGCCAAAGATGCTCTGACTGTTAGTGGGTTTGGCGTGCTACTGAAAGGTGTTAGAGCACTGACTCTAGCAGTTATGCCTTTTAAGCAGCATGAGTCACTGAGTTGCCTTTGCTGTGAGAACTGCACAGATCGCCCCTTCTGTACATGGCCCATGTGGGAGTTGAAACAGTTCCGGGGCAACCAACAAAAGCTTCACCAGGACTTCTGCAGCGCGTTTTAGCCATAATGGCGTAAGCATGAGGTTTGACCCACTCCTGGGTTCATGCAATTCCTAGGATCGATCCTGCGCCATCGTTGTTGGGTGTCTTCGGGTGCCGCGTATTCGGTGCCGTGGCCATGCTCGGCTGGAAGCTTGCCGCCGCTGCCTAAATACGTCCAAGCTTGTTGCGCTCACCACTCCACCCCGACATCTTTCCAGCACATGAATATCAACAAGCCGCCAACTTCTACACATCCATGGCCGTGTGCGTGAAAAGTGAATGTCAACGAGCCTATACCTGCTATGAAAAATCCAAATCCAAGGTTCTCTCAATGAACTTCTTGATCTTCTTCTTCATGGCCTGACATTGCCAAAAACAACCAGGTTGCATTGACATGTGGTTAGGGTTTTTGAATGTATAGATATAGGTCAGGATTCAATGTACGGAGGAGCGAGCTCATTTCATCTGTGAGCTCAAAAATGCCTTCCGGTGGTTTCTTTTTGTCTGGGCTTCCGTTCGGCGGCCGCGACTTGCTATGCGCAAACAACTGCTCGATTATGCAGATGCGGCCCTTTGCAGAGAAAGCTCTGCCAATGATGCCCTTTTAGAGTTGGCATGGTCACACGTTTGTGCCCTCGAGCATCACAGTCCCCAAAGCCCTTCCTGCCTCTGCATCGACATCGTTCCGCAGAACGAGGCTTTCATGAAAGACATTACAGCCAAAGTGCGAGCAAAGGCATCGCATTTCAATGCCCCAGTCCTCCGGCAGCTCCAAGATTCTGTCGAAGTTCCTTGCGACCATGGAAGTGGCGGTCACCAAATCTGGCACAACACTCAACCCTAGATACTATTTCGCTTCGGTTCTTCGGCATGGCATAGTCGATGATCAGGCCCTGCCGACCAGTGCCAACCGCCATAGTTCGGATGGAGGGCTGAACCGCAAATCGGAAAAGCATCACCCGCGATGATTCAAAAGCCTCGCCAGCTAATCACTCTACTGTTCAACGCTGCACTGCCTTTTCCTAGAGCACCCCAATCGCGCAAAGATAGGTCAAGAAGCATCTTTGCAAACGTAGCTCTTCGCTTGGCCTCATCGGCCCGCAGCCCGTGCGCGTCCAGTGCGAAGCACTAGTTCCACCAGTTAGCTACGAAATGCTGAGGCACCGACCCTCAGGCAAGTCTGCCAGGACACTCTCCAGCAATGCCTCCATTCTAACGAGAGGCTTTGAAGCAGCTTGTTCGATTGGACATGCTGCGCCCGTGCAAAGGCATGCATAGGGCTACTGTGGGCCTTCAAATTTAGTTGCGCGGCTCTGCACTATGTTGTGGGGAAAGTGCGTTCCACAGAATGACCCGAATGGGCCTCCAGGCGCTTTAACTCGCCGCCCCCAAACCTCAAGCAAGCAGCTGGATTTCACTACTTGTGCCAACACCTCGGGGAGATGGTAAAAAAAAGTACTTCTTGTAGCGGCTGTGGCAGTAGGCATTGGAGCGGCTACACTAGTGTTTGTGCTATCAAGGCGGCCTGTGCAGGCAGGCAGCTCTGTCATTTCCATAATCAAATGATGGTTGTAGTCCCGGCCCTGCTGCATGAGCTGCTTGGGCAAGGACTCAGGAAAAACCGGATTCAAATACCACAGAACTTTATCCTCAGCTTCATCTCCAGGCACTCACAAGCAACGCTTCCGCTGACACTGCACATTTGCATGCTCAACCAAACCTGCCAAGACGTGCCGAGGATCTGCCAACACATTAACGAAAGGGATCGGCAGAGCCTCAAACTTAAGCTTGAAATTCCAGAGACCCGACAGGTTCATCATCCCCAACAGCTCAATCAGCTTGATCAACACCCGGCCGCCACGATCACAGCAATCGAACTGGGCACGCCCCAGATATTCGAATTGCTTCGGCAGGCAGTCTGGGGAGCTAAGAGCAACTTTGCGCTTGAGGAGGTTCGCTGTTGCAAAGTCTTTGCAAGAGATCCAAACAAATTTGTTCTCACGCGGTAGAGGGAATGTGTCATGAATCGTTGCAAGAATTAATACCTTCCCCTCAGAGCGATTGCAGTCTTCGCCCGCAAGGTCAGAGCAGTATCTGGAGACCTTGCCGTCACAGCTAGTAACGTGCTCTGGGTAGTTTGGCCATGAGGCAGCTCTTTGGCATGCAGGGTCAGCGTCGCTCGCCGAGAGCTCTGTGGCACCATCCAAGAACGGAATTATCTCCTGGCCAGTTGGAGTTTTCAAACCTAGTGTGTTGACCAACTCCACTTCACCACCTTCCGTAATGCGGCAGAAGAGTGCTCGATCTGTGTACGCAGGCCCCTTGTGGACCTGCGTTCCACCGCTGCCAAAAGCAATGCCCGCTGCAACCGATGGGTTCAGGAAGATGGAGCCGAGCACGGAATGGGAATCACGTTTGAGCGGCTTCAGTGCCTCTTGCAAGCTGAAGATACCGGCGCCGGCAAAGCAAAGCACCTGCTGCCCAGCGCCAATTGGAAGAATCTTCTCCAAGCGTCTCATGTTGATGACCACGCTTGGACGGTCGCAGCCGGAACCCCTAGGAACCGAGCCACCCGTCAGCCCGGTCTTTGCTCCCTGAGGTATAATGGCAGTGTCTGCTGCGACGCAAGCTTTCAGAACTCGGAGGGCCTTGCTGCCACCATGCCACACAGAAAGGCCACAAGTAAATTAAGCATGAATGAACTTAGACTTAGTCAGTATGTCTTTGAAGCCTCATCCAAGGTCCCAGGTTTGACCACAGCAATGGCACGGCCTTTGCCCACCATCGTGCCGGTCTCATCGGCATTTTCTAGCACATTTTGCCGGCCAACCTTTCACCACATGTCACTTGCACGCGCACTCCTGAACTCTGAAATGGTGGCTTAGCCTTGCTACGCGATTGATCATGAACTGCGACAAGCAAAGAAAATTAAGCGCTTCAGGGCAACAATGAGCCGAAGGTTTTGCGCCAACTCTTTCTGAGCCGGGGTCAATTCCTGGCCATGAACGCAGCCCATGTCCGCATATGACGCAGATTAGTGATTAGTGCGTTCTGGAGAGGCATTACTGTAGAACTGACCACCGCTCCCCGCCTGGTCACAGCACACACGAAAGCCAGAACCAGGTAGAACACGCTCCCGCAGCCTGCACTGTAGGAAGAGCGTCACTGGCTTGGGATGCATGCAGGGCCCTGCTACAGCTACTAATTACAGATACAGCAGCACTGCAGAGCACCATGAGGAGCTCATTCACCACAAGCATCTGAATCTGCGGTGGACAGCCCCTCCTGCCCTGGCCTTGAGTCTGCGAAGGTTGCAGACAAGCCGAAACCAAAACCAAGGACGCCGGCAGCCACGACGGTTCCGGCGCCATAGGTCCTACAAGTGCAGCACGCGCGATGCAATCCGGGCTGCAGTTCATAGATACGGGCCAGGTCGGCCCGTCCTTTCACTAGAGGACGTGCGGGGCGCCCAGCGGAGGAAGCGAAGTGGTCGAGACAATTTCATGGCTTTATAGGTCTCTGGGCAGGGCTACATCTGGCAGCGGTGGCCATCTGCTGAATGATGATGTAATGCTGATTTGGTTAATGCACTTTCGGGCCACTAGGCATTGGTGGCTCCATTCGTGGCTCCATGGGCAAGCATGTGGCTCTTGGTGTGCTGGTCAAATCTTGCTTGTCCATGCCTGAAGGGGACAGCAGCGAAATAGAAACATGGTGACTGGCCATCCTGGCAAGTCCTGGCTGAGCTTGAACACTCCTCTGTTTGCCGAGGCATCTGTTGAGGTGCTAATTGGCTGGAGCCCTTGCGCTGTCCTTTCTCTACTTGGGATCGACAGCTTGTCTCTGTGATGCCCTTAGGCCTACGTTGCAGCTTCCTTCGGCGCACATCTGTGCTCACTCTGGCTGCCCCCTCTGGATAAGTCATCGCAGCCTTCCAGAACTCTTGGCTTTCTCATGACAAGCGTCGTCTCTGGCGGAGTTCGCACGCGTCGTGAATAGACACTCCTTGCGCTTGCCTTTTGACTCGAGGGACAGGTGCCATGACTTGAGGATCTCGGTCATGGACATGAGCAAGGGCTGGATTACCAATGCCCGGTCTACTTTGCCAATCATGTCACTGCCTTCTGTCGTTGAGCCATGAAGAAGTGCCATCGGAAGTCAAGATCTTGTCGCTTGCTTTGGCGGACTGGTAATTCCCTCCTTCTCGCCTGCAAGCAAGATTCCAGCAGACCCAATCCTTCCACAAAACCCGAGCTTGAAACAATAAATCTGGTGCCTCGCCAGCTCTGAAGCACGGCTGACCGGAGCTGCGGCAGTGCTGATGCAGCAACGAAGAGCGCAGGTGCACGGAAGAGTGCCGCAAAGAGTGCCTGCTCTAGGGTACACTACCAGCGCATCAATGAGCACTGGACCTGGGAACCTAACAAGATTAATTATACCGGAGAGGACGATCCATTCCTGACACTCTGCTACAAATCGGACTGATGGAGAAAAGGGTGGTGATTTGGGCAGACTGCCACAGCAAGCCTTCATGAGTTTGGACTGAACCTTGTATGATGCATTAGAAGCACTGGCCGGCCATTTGAACCTACCAATTCCATCAATTTGCGGCAGCTGTCTACGCCTCGTAGAAGATCTCATCGACATCACCATCTGCAAGTGCTTCCATCTGCACAGGTAAGTGCAAATGTCGAACATGAGGCAAAAAAGACGAGATCATCATTGCCTGGTCCAACGAAGCTGTCCATGCTGCCCGCGGACCGTGCGGTTCTTGTGCAGCCAGCAGTGCACTGACCGAGAGGAGGTCTGGCCGCAGCAACGCCTGGTCCAACTCTGCCAAACCCCTGATGCAAGTCCACGGCAAGCAAGGCAAACTCGCCTGGAAAAGCCTCGAAAACAGCCCGATGGCTTGCTTCCACGAGGATTCCTTCGCAACACCCTGAGCAGGCGAAAACAGGCGTGTTCAGGCATATAGGGCTCATAAGGTTTAAAGTGCTCAAGCTCTTCCATGACTTCTTCGACAATTCTCAAGGCAATATCTATTCAGTGGCAGGACAGGCACGCGCTACCTTCCTTCGCCTTTTCCGCCACGTGGCAGTCCACTCTTAAAAGTTCATGGCTAATCTCGCGCAGAAGTGAATTCTTGAAAGAGGTTGTCTGCCCCTCGGCACATAACTTTGCTTAGTAGAAGACAAGAGCTCTGCGCAATCCCAACTCACCTCTGTCATGCTTGAAAGGAAATCGGCTTGCAACTCTGCAAGGTGCCTGCAAGTGCCAAAAAGCTGTACAAAGGAACAATGTCATGGCTCCTGCAGCACGCAAGTTCTTGACACCCAATCCTACGGCAGCCAATGAAAGCTTGCTGTTCCGGTGGATCTGCCTCTTGTGATTGGGCCTCCCCGAATGACCTCGTCACTGCCTCATGTCGACGTTCGGATGTTTGCTGTAGCCACCCTTGCTCATCCCAGCATCAAGCTGTGGTAGTCGCGTGGAACCCAACAAGGATGGATAGGGCGAGGTTTTCGGTTCACGGCTTCCCTCCCCCTCCAGCATGGCCAATGCCTTCTGCAGCTTCTGGCGCTCCTCACATCAACACTTGCTTGAATGTGGAAGACCGCTAGCTAGAAGATACGACGATTGTGCTGCTCTGAAGGCCTAAAAGAACGTCAGTAGGGCATCCCCTATGAGCTCATTTTGGGAAATCTAGTAGCAGCTCCTCGGCAGACAGATCGGACACGACACAGGCAACATCGGCTTCCGTTGCTGCCTTCACGTGGGTAGCGGGCAGCGACTGGACGGAGGCACCGGCGCCCATGTTGTCTGCCAACTGTGGTACAGCGCAGGTGGCAAGCAGGCAGTGCTTTGGTGCTTAAGCCGAACACTACAGGGTCACACAATGCTCACATGGGGCATGCACTGGAGACTTGGGATCTGCTATTTCTGCAGAACTACTTGCAGCTGTGTCGCGTTCAATACTGAGTTGGCTGTGGGCAAATTCCTCGGCTGACCGGTGCACTGAGCGGATATGCTCACATCAGAGGCCAGCGGACAGCTTCAACTTCTGAACGCTTTCACTCCGACTGAAGGAACCTGCTAATGGATTTTTGCCATTGAAGTACGATCAGCTATGCATGCAGGCGTCAGGGCGGAACCGCTGAGCAGCGTCAGCGCCGGCTGCCAAAGCCTCACCAATTGCACGCTCTCTTTTGCAGCTGTCTCGACATGCATATGCAGGTTCTATTTCCCACTAGTCCAGAAGCATTGAGCGTCCGCAGGCATCAGCAGCTGCACCAAGCATGACCTCCAACCACGCAGTCTTTCTCCAGTCAAGTATTTTGTATTCTCAAAGCAAGCTGTTGCCTGCTTGGCGTCGGTCCTAAGTTCAACATCCTGGCCAGCCTTGTCTGGGGCAATTCCTGATGAACGGGATACGTCCAACGTGTGGCATGCGCTGCACCACCTTCGCGAGCAGGGGCAGTTCACATTTGCGAGCCAGGTCTCATTTCCAACGGCGCACACTCTGGTACGCAACAGCATTCTCACACAAATTGCTCATAGGTAGGTGAGTATGGCCAAAATGAGCTGGCCCCTTTCTAAGCCTTTGTTATCATTCACCTGAAGCTAAGTTGCAACCGTAGGGATGTGGGTGTTGCAAAAGCGACAGATTTGCACGACACTACAAAGTGTTTCGGGTACCTAATTAAGAGATATATTGCTAGTTCAGATTGAAGCCCCACTACATACTATTACTTAGAAGAACAGCACAAATGCACTTCTAGTTCTGATTATCAGGCCCTGGAACGGGGAGAGCTTGCTTTGCTAAGGGTCCCTTTCTGTCGTCCATGTGCAAAGGATCTTGGTTTTTGGTGCTTCTTCTGGGTTCGCTACCAGCTTGGACTTCGCACCAGCAGCAGCGGTCTGTAACTACCATGCGAGGCAAGCCTACCTTCTAACCCAACTTGCGTGTACTCGAAGAAAAAAATGGTGCAAATAGCTAAATTAGAGATGGCAAACGTTGCATGATGACCGGCCAGCATGCCCTTGCTGGCCTTTCGGCTTTGGCTTGGCCACTAAGGCATGCGGTGAGCAGCACCACATCAGACTCCACGGCCTCCCAAGGCTGGCGCATGGGTCTATCTTGAGTCTACCTGCGTCGGCCTTGCGCCGCATCAGCATCAGCAAATCCGAGGCGAGATCTGAATGCTCTGAACCTGGGCGTTGCAGAAATGGGCATGAGAGGTCTTTGTGAGCGGATGCCTCAAAAGTCAGGTGGAATAGGTTCTTTGAAGCTGTTTCACGCCGTACGCCCCATAGCCAGGAGCTTGCCGAGAAGCATGGTGCGGAGTCCAACATCGTAGAAAATGAGATGCAGTCCTCATCGATGCGTGTGTGCGTGTGTGTGTGTGTGTTGCTATGGTGAACTTGGATTTTGTACTACTCAGAATGCCCCATCCGCATGCTGCAGGTCAAGTCTTGCATTCAAGTCTCCGGTGCACACTGCTGCAGTTCCATCCGCTCTAAGCAAGCCTCGACTAACCGGGCAAAACCACGGCTAGCAGCCAAAATCCATACACCAGCTTTTAATAGCAAGGTTTGTGCCCAGAAGCCAAACCCATTTCCCAGTGCCGTGTCCATGCACAGGCGCTTAGGACCGAGTTCCAGCTAACGGTGTCAGCCTGCACGGCCATTGCAGTCCTCAGCCGCCCCAAATGGGACCATCTGCGTGCAGAAGAGTGAGGAGGACACAAGGATGCGACCAAAAAGAACTTCCTGTCTTGACACCACGTGCAATTCCAGCGGAAATTGAAACAGCAATTCGGACCTACTTCAAGACCATTGGGAATGCTGCAGCAATGAGTTTTGCCAAGCTTCGCTTGTCCAAGCATGCAAAGGGAGAGCTGCCACTTACCAGCGTGAGCACATGCGCTCAAGGCTGCGTTGATTGTTCGCAAAGTGGGCGCCAAACCTCGCCCGCAACACTGCCAAAACAGCAGCATTGCCTCCAGTTTGGTTTTGTATGTCCCACACCGCAGGGGGCGCAATATGAAAACCACATCCTACGATTCGTGGCTGCCGAGCATTTGAATGTTTGTCAGAGCTGGAATGGGGACCGTTTCCAAGAAGGATTGGATTCATGTTCAACCTTTGGATGTTACAAAGTGCTTAAACTGAACAAAGGAGCACGTTGCCACTCGCTCACCCTTTCCATGGCAGTGATGGCCTTGGGACCCAGGACATTCTCTGCAGTAGCCACATTGACGCACCACTACAGAACTTCATGTTGTGCAAGCCTGACGCGCCAGTTGTTCACATCTGGAACAATCTGTTGAGCTTGCTGTTGCCCTAAGCGCATCCACCCATGGTCCTGGTATGTAGAAGGCTTCAAGACGGAGGGTCCCAGCATCCTTTGCAATGAAAATGAATGTAAGATAGCAACTGAAGAACCATTAACGATGCCCTCGCAAACCGGGCAATGCCATAACCCCGGCAGTGGCACAAGTTTGACTGCACCACCTCACCAAATCAGCTCAATTGGAGTCATGTGAGCCTTGCGGGCCGACAGGTAACATGCCGATTGACTGATTAGCCCCCAAATCTTGAAGATGCAGGAGTTTCGAGGTTTGCTCAACACCCGTCTGGCAACAACCAAGTCACTGCATTGAAGGCAACAACGTTGTGCTGCCCTTTCCAGAAGGACGGTGCGTCTTCAATCAGCGATAGTGCCTGGTCGGCACGGCACACTGTGAGAACGATCTATTCGACGAATTTCCGCCATCTGGCAAGCTGGCCGGCCTTCTGCCACTGAGATCCTCGCTCTGCAGCAGTCATTGCTGTGCCTGTGCTTGCCATGTTCCACGCTGCCATCTGCCATGTTCGCCATCGCAAACCGTTCCAACACTTCATGGCCATGAAGGTGATCTTGGGCCCCACTCCGCCTACCAAAGCAGACAACCCGCCTGCCGTCGCTGATGAAGCACAGAGGCGCCGGGGCCTAAGTCGATAAAATCGCACAAGCGATTCACAAATCAAAGCATTTGCTGCTGGGCGACTGCAGCGTGTCAATGATCAACAGGGAAATCTCCCAGTGCCGCGATTTGCTACAGGCGTTTGCCGCGGAGTTGAAGCCTTGCAGACAAGGCTCTCATTGCGCAGGCCAGAAGGCCAGAAAGAAAGCTTGAGATTCAGCAAGCACTTGGACAGCCCTGAAGGGCGGAGGAGTGCGTCAGCCAGGAAACTGATCGTCGTCAGCTTCTGCTCATCTCCGCCTCGTGCAAAGCGAAGCTGCAAAGGCTGAATCCTCGAAATCTTTTGCTCGGCCTGTGAGCTGCATGATTCGGCGCCACTGGGACATTCGCGCCCCTGCGCCCAGCGCAGCATTGCGCAGCGCGGCATCCACAACTGAGCACGGGGATGTCATGAAGCAGAGCTGTCTATGACACTCTATGAAGACAGCTTCAAGCGTGCTGAATTTGGGCACTGCCCCATGCCCAACTTTCAAATGCCAAAACAAAAAGCAATGTACCAGTGAAAGGAGCCAGCTTATGCAGCAGGTATCGGTGCTGACCATGCGGCGCAAAGCTGGCTGCTCAACTGCATGCGGCCGAAGGACCAATGTTCGATTGCGCAGCTTGGACCAGCAACATGACAGCATCCTTGCAATTGCCCAGTGAATTGTCAATGATTCGTCACATGTCATAATGCCACACAGCTACAGCACCCTCCAATCCAATTACCCACACATGGTGCTCTGACAACTGGTAACTGAGTGTTCGATTGCTTGTTTGCTTGCCTGCCTATAGGTCAGTGTCAAGGCAGACGCTATGGGCCGCAAACCAACAAAGACCATTCACCAAAAGCAAGATGCAACTCCTGTATAATCTTACGGTCACTTTGGTTGCGGTGCATGTGGTGTCTGTGGTCTCCTCCCACAGACCACCTCGATCGCAGGTAGCCGCAGCGGCGCTGAGCACAAAGGCATCGAGTTTGAGCCCTGGCCGCAATGCTACTCAGCGGCTACTCCTGCAACGTCTTCCTTTCTAGTTCCTAAGGTCGTGATGCCCAAAGCCTTGGCACAAGATCCATGAAGTCCAGGCTTGCTGCCAAAGACTGCGGCGGTTGGCTGCTGAGATGGAGAAGGTGAGCTGGCGCAGCTGGCGCGGGTCTGCACCTTCGGAGCGCTGTCTGACAAGCTCTGCACGGCACCCAGCACACCCTCTTACACCATCACCTGCTGGCGGTTGCATCAGCCATGGCCATCTAGCGACAAGCAAGAAGTCAGAAGAGAACAGGCAAGGCTCTTCCTCAACTACGTTAAATGCACGGCAAGCTCCTGCTGATGAATATCTTGTCTTGGGACACATTGAGTGAAGTTCGTCGGGATTGATGAGAGCCGGCCGCTATCAGCCAATTCGGCGCGAACTAGAATCTCTACAGCTGCTTGCCGGGATCATCTGCACAGACGGTGTATACCGTCTCTCATTCTGGAACTTGTGTTTTGCAAATCCCTCCTGCATGATCATTGCTTTCAGCATGAGCGCGCTAACCCCACAGAACAACCAGAGCTTCACCGTGATCTGGCTGAAGTGTGTCATCTCCTACCCAGCGAGCTGGCGGCCTGCAGTGGAAAGCAATCGTGCCATCACGCAGTGCTGGAGACTAGCTGCTCAACCCTGCGTGCGGGAGCTCGCCCCAGAAGCAGGAAACAACAAGCAGACCAGCACAAATGCCGGGACCTACCTGCATCAGTAGCGTCTTTGCTGAGAAGAACTTGTCAGGCTGTGGTGAGGCTGTACAATCTGCTCTGCTTAGGGCCATTCGTGGTTCAGCACGGGTTCTTGGCGTCTCGCCACCTTAGTGTGATCCCTCCATGAGAAGCCATGCTTGAACCACTAGACCTTTGTAATTCCACCCAACGTCTACGCATGTTTACGCTTAAGCTGCCCTGGTAGTCAAGTGACAGTCCAGAAGACAAGAAGTTGTGAGACTTGGCCTATAACTACCCGGCATACCGTCACAGACGGTAGCTTGCAATAACACTTGTGAGCGGGATGTTACTTGAACAAGGCCTTTTTGTGCCGACAATTCTTGATTCACATTCCTTCTCGGCTTGGCTTCTATTCTCGGCTAGCCTTGCTCATGTACCCTGCTCGCTGAAGAGCATGGACTCAACGTTTCTGCCAAGTCTTGCTCTTGGTACCCCACTGCCAGCACGGGTCCCAATTTCTGCAATTGTCTGCAGCATTGTGCAGCTTATCGCTGACAGGGCGAGAGAGCTGCTTAAGGGGGCTTCACGGCCACTGGAATCCGGCTAATGGTTGTCAGTTTATTGGGTCCCGTGCCAGTTGGTTGGCTTTAAGTTAGGTGAAAAACCCACAGATTCTTGACCGAGACAAATGCTCAAGAAGATTTTGCCAGCTAGTCGGACGAAGGATGCATGGCTAAAAACCTGTGGGACAGCTTGTTTACAGTGCAATGATACAGGTGGATCGACGCACTCTCCTGATTCGACCATTTCTCGGTGGCTGGATCATGTCATGCGGGCGATGGAACACTGTGACAGCAGGGCGCAGCTGAGAGAACGGGCCTGCAACGACTGACTGAACACTATGGACACTGTAGAGCCTGCCGGTTAGAGTGTGCAAGGAGAGTATTGCGGATGAGCGCTCTCGCACCTCAGGCAGTGTCAAGCGGGACGAGATATCCAAGAAATTCTCTGGCGCGTGCTCTTCCTCAGAGCTAGCCGAGCTAGCAGAGCTGGCAGAGCATGCCCATTCGGCATTCCGCTCCCTCCCAGTTGCTTGCAATTCTCCTGCTATGTCCTGCTTGCAAATCGGACAAAGGCGGTTTCCCGACAACCACTTGTCCACACAGCCTGTGTGAAAAGTGTGGAGGCAGCGCAGGGCCCGCACTGAGTCGCCGTCCTGGAAATTATCCAAGCAGATTGCACATGTCCCATCACACCTGTCGCCCTGTATGGAGCTGTGGCAAAAGGTGTGGCACGCCGTGTTGTTGAAAATCTCCAGCTCGGAGCATCCGTCATGTGCCTGTGGCGGTGCCTGCGGCGGTGCTTCCCAGTCTTCCTCATCCTCGTCATCAGAAGGTGGTAAGGGCGCCTCAGGATGAAAAACGTGAATGTCGTACGCATCAGGATCCATCCTCAGTCGCCTTCCATGTGAAATAGCATCTGGGAAGGGCAGCGGCATGAAAAAAACAGCCCCTCGCGAGAGGCTATCCATGGCACGATGCGGAGCACTACAAGCTAATCGGGCTCCAGAGGGCAAACTCGTGCAAAGTCTGATGTCATCTTTCTGAGGCTGAACTGGGGATTGAGGGACACCTAGATCACTGTGTGCTCCCTGCACTGCGGCAGTCCTCCTGACTTGCCGCGAGTCTTGGACCATGGAAGGATCCATACGTATATCAATCTCATATCTCCGAGTTGATTAGTAGAAACAAGTCCGTGAAGCCACCCCTTGCCAGAAGTTCTCCGAACTTGCTAAGCTCAGCAGCTAGTTGGCAAGTACGTGCCAGCAAGAGGAGGCTCTAAGTTCAACACGTCTCTTAGCTCTTCTGCTGACTGAGGTCATTTTTGTTTTCTGCATCCACGCTTGCGCAGTCGTCCTATGCATATCCATCATGGACTTGCCATCTCGCTACTGGAACTTGATCTCGAGCAACTATCGCTGGAACTGTCCGAGTCGCTGGTTCTGCTTGGACTGGATGGCTGATGAGTCTGACGAGTCACAGGTCTTGTTACCCGTGGTGCAGCCTGCTGCGCTTGTGGCGCTTGCGGCGCTTGCGGCACGGCCGCCCGAGCTAAAGCGCCCGGCTGGCACGGCCTTTGCGCACCAAGGTTCAGCTGACCGCTGGGCTGGTGGCGGTGCTGGCACCTTGCCCACATGCGACGCTCCCCGATCTGGGACGCGCCATTGACAGCTCCATGGAGCATAGCAACCCTGTAGTTGTGCAAACGCTGCATGAACGCGGATGCCGTGCTTGTGGAAAGAGCAGCAAGTGTGGACTGAATCTGCACTGCCGGGCCACGCTGCACAACGCCAGGTGGCGCAGAACGTGCAGCTACCGCCGCTGCATGGGCACGAAGTTGTGCTTGCGCACGAAGTTGCGCCCTTTGAATTCCCAGTGCCCTTTGGCGTGCCTGCTCAGCCTGCCCTGCCTCGAAGGCGACGAAGCTGCCAGCGAGGTCTGACTCTGAAGACGCTGCAATTTCCGGATTAATCACAGGCGAACCAGTGATGTCCTGCTTGCAAATCGGGCATAATCGGCTAGCCTCCAACCACTGATCCACACAGTCACGGTGGAAGGAATGAAAGCAGCGCAACACTCTTACCCAGTCACAGTTCTGGAAATTTTCTAAACAAATCACGCATTTACGGTCTCGCATCCGTTCAGACTCACCAGCAGGTTCTGTGTTGCAGAATGTGTGGCAAACCGAATTCTCGGCAATCACGTATTTGCTGTAATGACCGCTCCAGCTCACTTGTGGCCAAATGTCGTCGTCGTCAGAAGGAACTTGAGCGTCGAAGTTGTTGTCGAAAACGTATCTATCATACTCGTCCGGGTCACTTATCGGCAACCTTCTTGACGGTCCATTCGGCATGGCTGCGGCATAAATCACTCTAGTCTGAGATGCCTAACTTCCTGCATCTGACCTTGAGAAGTCTGTTGCGCTTCTGCTGCGTACTATTTCTCTCGAGTTCAATTCCAAAACACGGCCGCGGCCAGCTTATGTACCTCACTACGCCAACACATTCGACTTCATCGTGCTTGATTTCAGCTTACACCTTAAGACGTGATCGACTGCCTGGGTCTGGATCGTCTTGTACTCGCTTGGGACAAACGGGGCGAAGCGGTACCGTTAAATTTCTTTCAGACCTTGCAACTTCCGAGGCAGAGATGAAACTGCATTCAATGTTCTGCAGGCAAGGAATTCTCTAAGCGTGTTGTTTTTCGTGCACGATGCCCTCTTTACGCTTTCGGCAGCACAATGGGGTCTGGTCGCAGCATGTCACAACTCCTAGTTTGAGGGCTGGACAGCTTGCGGTTGCCGATCGCCCTGCTTAGCATAAGGCAGATGGCTTGGACGGTGCTCTGCACACATCCATAAGCGAGCATCTAAACTTCAGAGTTACAGGTCTTCGATGTCCTTGATGGCATCATGAACCTGACAGCCCACGCTTCAATCGAGTCTGCAGACATGAGGCACCTATGCTTGTGAGTGCCGGTGATAAGCATGTGGACATGCAAGCGCGCGCACAATTGCTGGCCACGCACGCACACACTTAGAGGCACAAAAACGGCAACCACGATTGCCAGCTAGTTATTGGATCTTTGCTGCGAGCCTGACATGTGTGCTTGGTCGGACAGGTGCTGCAGCTGTGGCCACACGCCATGGGCTGGTCACCGTCTACCACCTTCTTGATCTTGGGGGCTAAAGCATGCCATAGTGCCTGCATGTGTGCAGAGCAAAAGTTCTTTGGTCCAACTCTACCAAACCTCTTCTACAAGCCGGCATGGTCAGGTAATTTGCAGCCAGTCCTCCAACGATTCCGCCGTAGAGGCTGGGAATGAGCTGGAAAGCTCTGCCGCTTTCGCTGCCCAATTGCCCTTGCCATCGCGCGAGACCAACCGAACCAACTCTCGTTCCAAAGGCTCAGAGCCTGGAGGAAGGCCACCTGCACATGCTCAGCAAAGGAAGCCCGTATGCGGTGTATGCGGCATAGTATGTGGTCATCCCTGTCACAATGGGTGCCTTCACAGGGTGCACCACACTGCTTGCTCGGGAGCCGCCGTGCAATCTCAAGGTACCGCAGAAGGAAATCACTTAACGACCTAAGGGTGGCTTGATGCCAACAGTCGCCCTGTGATGCTTGCTGGAACTTCCAAACCTTTTGCTTCCGGATATGTTGGCAGTACATCAATTAATCACTGCTGACGCTGTGATCGGCAAGCCAAGACACAACATCTTGCCGTTCTCACCTGGCATAGTCTAGTTGCAAGAGCGTTGACAAAAATGCAGCATCGAGACATCTACGCTTCTCTGGCTGACGTCTGCCTTCAGTCTGTGCAGTGTCTATGCTGCATGATCCGGGGGCGCTGGATGTGCAAAAGCTCTGCACCCTTGCAAAGCGCTTGCGCACGGATGCCTGGCGCCGCCCAGGCAGCGAAGAGCTCGGAGATGTAGTCTTCATCGTCCCCTCGCGCTCCACAAGAGCGCAGCCTCTGTAGCAACGCTTCCAACTCCAGCCTGAGCACCAACGGCTGGCCTATACAGCAGCTTTCAACACAAGACTCGGATTTGCAATAAGATTTCATCGCTAAGGTTCAAAGCTATTGTTTGTGAAGCAGAGCGCCATGTTGAATGAGCTCAGACAAGGTCTTCATAATCTGTCCTATCTCTCTTGTATGAGTTGGCTTCAGGAAGCTTGACGCAACACTACGCAACCTGTGCACTGCTGCAGTCAAAAGACGGCCGACAATCGGCTTCACTGGCTGCTGCAGCGTCTGCCAGTTCCTAGCTTTTTTTCAAGCAGAGTGAAGGTGATCAATGCGCAAATTTCCGAGCTCCTCAGCCTTGGCCCGCTTCCAGCTCAGAGCTTCAACGGTACCTTCCTTGCACCAACTTGAAAAAAATGGGCGCTCTTGTTCATTAAGCATCAGCTGTCAGATTCTTTGCTCCAAGTCACTAGGGTCATCTCGACCGCCTGGCACTGATGCGCCAAAACCCTCGTGGCTTGAACGAACAAGCGGCCGATGCCTCTGCTCTGGCTTCCATGGCACGGTCGATGGTCGCTGAATCCTCTGCCAGCTTAGGCACCAAGGTCGTGTCGGTACACGGCATTCACAGCCCAAGACAAAACCATCAAGAAGAAACTGGATACTGCCCATCGTTACCGCAACCCTCAATATCCCGTGTGTTTGTGGCTCGCATATTGGGGAAGCCCAAGCTTCAGCATGCAGTTGACTGCCTTCCTGAACAGTGTAACATTATAATATAAGCCTCAACAAATTGAGGTAACCTGCCTTCGTCGGCTTAGCAAACAAGACCTCGCTGAGCACCTTGCGGGCACATCAAGAGATATGCTGCTTCAGTCAGTAGGATGCCAAGGGAAGGAAGCATCACCAGCCTGAAGCAGCTGCCCTTCAAGCACCCGGCTCCGCGAAGGCACGGCGCGTACCTGCAGGTGATCTTCACACCCTAATCGTCAAGTGCACACACACACACAAGGATGCAGAGCTCACGGCTAGTGCAGATTTGCCTCTGGCCTCCAGCAAGGTCTCGGACAAGAGCTGGTCAGGCTCCTTTCCCTGCAAAGTGGGCCATTGGTCCTCCCAAATGGTTGTTGCTGCCCTCTTGATCCGGTATGACATCGCTTGACATGGTGGCTGCGTCCTGCTGCATTGACAAGCGAACATAGGACAAGGTAGCCAAAGCCTTCCTCATCGCCAGCTGCACAACACGATGGGGATGCACTCAATACATTGCATGCAATGTTCCAGCAATACTGTCTCCGTTCACATCTGGTTCCGGTCATGTGTTTAGTTTCGTCATGTCTCATCAGAGGCCCAGTAAGGCTCAGAGGTCGCTAGCGGCTAGCGAGTTTGCCAAGCGGCAGTAGGGCATCGCCGTGCAGTGCTGCTGCAGCACCAAAAGCTGCTGATGCACCCTCGCCATGCAACGAGCATGCTGACCCTCTACAACTCTCTACAGATTCAGACATCTTTGCATCAACTAGAACAGCCATCACGGCTTTGTTCCTCAGACTGAAGCCCTATGAGCCCCTACGCCTACGCCCTCCATGGATGCTGCGACAGATGCCTTTACTTGGCCAGCAGCAGCCAGGGCCTGAGCCTCAGTTAGTTCGAGGTGAGTTTCAGCTTCACTCCACAGCATCCGTGATGAGGCAAGCAGCTTCCTCAATGGCTGTGCTGATGTCTCGCGCCATTGGAAGATTGACTTCTGAGCCCAAAAGCGCCCATTTTGCAGCATGCTGTTTAGAACCCCGACATTGGAACATTCCTGGACTCGCTTCCACTTGAAAGCTTTTCAAGGGCCACGTATTTTCATTAGGAGTCTGCACCAGAGGCTGGGCTTTGCAGGCAAAGCAGAGACCCAGGGCCCAGTGGCCAGGATCAGATTTGTCCAGAAACAGCTAAGCTGACCCAACCTGAATCTTGACAAGCGGAACGGCTGGTGTCTCACACAAGGTCAGTCTATGCGTCGCGCTCTGCCCAGCGCATTGCCTGCTGTCTTGTTTTCGAGCTAATGCCGTTGAGCACGAGACCATTCAGCAGCTACAGGTCTGCAGAACATGAGACTCAGGTGCTCTCGCCCTGACTCTTGCAAGTTCAAGCACTGCAGCAGCAGAAGCGGGCTGAACCTGAGGCTTGCCCTCTGAAACCCCACGCTGAGCTTAGCGCAAATTAGCTACACATTTTATCTAGACATGCTTTTGAGAAATCTCGAAAACAGCAAAAACCTCGGGCAACCCGGGCTGTACAATCATGCCACCCTGAGAGACACCGCTCAGCGGTTTCAGGTGATAAACGACTTCAAGCTGTATCTGCCAGCACACTGGACCATATCCTCACTCTTTGGCCAAAAGCACTTCAGCCATGAACCAACTGGCACGCCCCGGCTGCCTCCTGCTAGTTCAACTTTTCATGGACTGAGCCTTCGAAGCTTGATCTGCATAAGTTTGTGGTTTCCCCTCCGTGCAAGTGGAAGCACAAATCCCTCCACACTGTAGTCCTCGCGAAGGGTCTGCAACAGCGACTCATTGAGGCCACTGCCGAAAGGCCGTGGAGCCTGAGCTCACTAAGAGTTGGGCACAATGCCACTGAATTCAAAATCTGGTCTGGAACTTACAATGGACCTAGCTTTGTGGCCGTCGCCCGAACTCTTCCAACCAAGCAACAAGGAAGAACGCTGCGCGACGTAGAATGTTACCTGCCTCAGTATGTGCGCTTACGCTTTGGCATGAGGTTGAGAAGTCTAGCGTAGCATGGAGCACGTTGCAAAAATTTTACAGCAACCACATGGAAGGGCTACATCAAGCACCCCGTTGCATCAAGCAGCGATGGCGCTGGAATCACCCAGCAGCAGCCTCGCACTCGCAGAAAAGGACTCTGAATTTAGACTCTTGTTCAGCAGCATGGAACTTGTGCTGGCTCCACCGAGCAGGCCTGAAGGCTCCTAGTGAATCCTCGGCAGCTGCTCCGGTGAGCAGATTTCCTGAATTGGCACAAGAATTCTAACGACTCCAACCAGCAGCTTGCCATTTAAAACGCTTTCACGCCAAGAAGCGCTCAAAGGCCAGCTCAGCATAGGCAAGAAAGACCTGAGCAAGAAGCATGGGCCTAAAGCTAGACAGGCTCGCTTGTACTTGTACAGTACAGCAACCAAATGCAATCAAGCAGCAGCGAACGGGGCACCTTCAAGCACGGCTTCCATGCTTTCAGCCAGTTGTGCACAAGGAGCACATTTGCCCAAGCCCGGAGCAGACCCCTTCAATCAGGAAGAAGTCCCAGAGTCTGCAGATGCTTTCCTCAACACAGCACGAGTCAAGCAGCAAAATTGATTCCATCCAGTCATTTTATTTAGCCCGGTTTCAATGGGCTTCAACTCACGCGAAAACAAGGTCAGCAGCGGCTCTGTGGCGATCCAGATCAGGGGCAGATCCACCTTGCATGCAAAAGAACATTCCTGGTTTCCTGTGTCAACCAGTTAGAAGCCACAGCCAACTTGCCATCCAACCTGAGACGCCAGCCTCTGCAAAACGCGCGTGGATTTTTGGCAGTAGGTGGAGCCTATGGGCTGCATTGGCTTAATTAATGTCATGCCGTTTGAACGGCACTGCTTATGACATGTCAGCAGCAGAGCTCAGCCCTGCACAGCAGCGCATCAAGGACAGCAACGTCTCGCAAAAGGCCGCTCATCGACTCTTCATAATACCCTTACCGGCAACCAACAGCCAATAGCTTGCAAAAAAGAAAAGCTTGTCAGATCATGCTGTCTTGCCGAGTATCCAAAGCAGAACGCGTCCTGGGCAACTTCACAATCTACTCTGGCTACTTCTACCGTGCTTACACACCTGGCTTCCAAGTGTCAGTGAGCGCGCGGAGACCACCCAGCGCTTGTTTCTCGGTGAAGCCCACGAGCAGCTGAACTGCAGCTACAAAATTCAGACCTGGACTTCAGCAAAGTACTCAAAATTAGAGGCGGCCAGGAATATTGCTGCTGTTCCAGGCAAGCAGCCTTGACAATATCCAACCTGTCAGCTTGTAGGTGTTGGGCAGAGCAACTGGGCTCATCCTGTTGTGGTGCTATCTTTGACTACCATGCATTTATCAGCATGGTGAGGGCGAGGTAGGTATCCAATTCCTGCTGCCTGTGCAAACAAGGGCACATGCATGCTGGGTGCCTGCGGTCGAAGAATTGCAAAGGCGCGGAGTACACCTTGCACACCAAGCCATCATCACCCAGCACAAGCAGCGAGCTTGCTGCAACCCCACAGGAAGCTCAAACGCCTTCCTTTCCAAACCTAGGAAGGGGCCGAGCGGCGGCTGAGCACCGCCCGCTGGCTATCATTGAGGTCTGCAGGCCGCGTCCTGAATTTAGGGCTTTGTGGTACCAGCACTGCTCTCGGACTTGCTTTTTTCCTCTCTTGGATCTGGCCTTGGGACGTCCTTCTCAATCTGCTTCTGACAAGCTTCTTCAGCACACAGCATGCCTGTAAACATCTAGCAGGAGCCGGCAGCCTGCTGAAATGGGCTCTGGCACACGCGCCTTCTTCCAGCGGCTCGTTGCCTTCCTGTGCAACATGAAGCCATGTTGGCCAAAGCACCAGCCTCGCACCAGCTATCATTCAATAGCCTGCTCAACATCTCTGAGGTTCCTAAGAAATCTTACTACTAAATCTGAAAGCGCGCCTGTACTGCCAAGGGATGCGGTGGCCCAAAATGAAGAGAGCCCGCAGCTCGCTCCGCGTCAGCTCTGCAGGCACTCGGTCTCCGAGCACCTTCTTCCTGAGACGAAGCACTTGAACACGATCGAGAAACCATAATGAAACCCTTGGTTCTTCTGATCCAGCTTCCAGCGAGCTGACAGCTCGGCTTCTCCATCCAGGCGGTCAGCGGCGCTACCATAAGGCATCGGGGCATCCCAGCCTTCACCACGGCAGCTCACAGGGGCAAGCAGCTACAGCCCTAATGGGCTGCAGAGGTGCATAATGGTGTAGTATACAGTATACGCTGCATCTGTTATAAGCCCACTTAGCGCGTCTCCGCCTGCGGCCAGGTTCGGGTCCGGCTTGATCCCAAGCCTCAGGGTTGTAGCTAATATGAGATGGATATGTTTTCAACTTCCTGCCAGGAGTACTGAGTCTTGCACAAGGCTGGTGAGTTCAGAAGTTCCCAGACACTGGCAGTGGCATCTTGCCAGAAAGCCGAGAACGACAGTCCTACCAACTGTTGAATGACGATAGCGCACGATTCTGAAGCTTCTGCATTTGCGGATGACACATGCTGCGTGAATCTGTGAATCTCACGTGAAAGCCACCTGGGCTATAAAGTGTGCAAAAACCTCAAACATGTCCGGACAAGAAGCAAATAGACTCAGTGCCAAGTCCTGTGCAACCAGCACCCACCTTGCAATGGATGTGAAAGGTTTGCAAAGACGGGATGAACCCGTATCCAGCTTGGCCCATTCACTTGCGTTCTTCGGCTGCTTATGCGCCCAGTCTGCGCCTCCGACGGACTGCGAGTCCGGTGCGAAGGCAGCCGCGAAAGCTGCAAGGAAGAGCCAGCACGCCTTCCAGCACATTGTCACATGTGTATACACCCACAGCCTCCCGCCAAGAAACATCAGATCTCTGGTTCCGTCCCAGCAAAAGCCTCAACGCATCCAAGCTGCCAGAGCTTCAGTGCAATCAAGACGTCCGGGGACGTCAGCGTTGCCACCGCTTCTCGTGCGCGCGCAGCAACCTGTACAGAATGCAGCAGGCAAGCGCCTCAAGGAGGTTCAGCTCAAGCCCCGAAGCTTGACCTCTCAAATCTCAGTGCGAGGCCCAGCTTGGAAGCTCCGGCTCTTTTTCCGAAGGGGGCACCCCAAAGCCTTCGCTGAAAAGGTGAGCGCGCAACCTACAAGCAGGAAATGTGCTATGCAAGCGGAGGAGCGTTGCAGCTGTCCCAAGGAACGACAAAGAAGCGCTGCCTGACAGTCAGACATGAAGCTGCTGGCAAACACAATGCCCAAAGTGTTCCCACCTCGACGTCACCGCTGAGAAGCACACACTCGGTTCGCAGCTCCATAGCCTGCAATTATCGCGGCAAGGTCTAATGCATCACTTATCGTTCACGACACCGACCTGTGTCAGATCAAAGAACTCCAGGAAAACGGCGAAGTCCACCCAGTTTATGCTGAGCCCTGAGGGGTACGGAATCCTGAGGTCAAGTCTGGGGCCAAGAATTCCTTTTCTGCAAACTTTATGAACACAATGTGATACGGTACCGTCGAGTGCAACCGTGCGTCTGAGCTTTCGAAGCGACGCAGGCCGACCTGTCAGGTGTTGAGATGCTTGCTGCTGGATACAAACAGAATAGACCGGACCTGAAGGCCTGAATTAATTACGCGGTCTAACCCGATTATTGGCACCTTCTTTGGCGTGAGCAGCTGACAGTATGACAGGCATCCGAGATGCATGAACAGCTGCTGAGATGTTCATCTACAAAAGTTTCAAAGGCTAAAGGTACAAAACGCTGGTTTCTTGTCACGCCCATCTTATGGAGAGGGCACTGTAAGCATCTCACACGAGGGTCGCTCACCCGCCTGGCCTCAGGTAGCCCAGGCAGATCTTCACTGGTGGCCTGCCAGTCCCCAGCGTCTGCAGCTCGAGCTGATCTTGGCCGATGCCTTCACACATCAACTTTCAAATCACGTAAGCCAATGTTGGGCCGAAGGACTCCGAGCCTTCCCGGCATGAACCCTACAACATCCTACAACGCTGCAGTCAAGCATCTCAACCGTGCATCCACAAAGGTCTCATGGGCGGGCAACCAGGCCATACCTCAAAAATGCATCCTCAGGATTCCCGGACTACCAGACCCAGACTTCACGAACAGCCCACAACATGCCCGAGCGGCACTGCAATCCTGGCTCGGCCGCACTGCGTACGAATCGAAGCACCTCCTGCAATCAAGTACGTTTGTTTGTTGTGTGCAACGACTGAAGCCATCATGTATGTCGAGTAGCAGCTGGTGCAACGGCCGAGTCAGATAGCGGCATCATGATCCAATCTGTCCTGGAATCAGGTTTTCTTCGGGCAAGTAACATCAACCGCATGCAACTCAAACAAGCCCTGTCAGACAAGAGTCCCTCTTCTCCCATGGCGCACATGCTCTCGATTTACGCTTTCATACTGACCGGCAGCTGCAAAAACATGGGGACGGCTGGTGGCTGAAGCCCAGGACAAGGTGGTTGCTGGGCTGCTTGTGGGATTTGGGGGCTTCTTATAGTGGTTTGTCGAATGCTGCGCAGGTGACTCTCTCAAGCACCCAGAAAAACTTGTCGCATGCCTGCTTTTGGCTAGACTGGCTCTTCTTGTGTCAGATGTGCCTTCCAATTTTTCAAACAGAAGCTTGAGCCGAAATGGCGAGACAGTATGACAGGTGGGTGTACAAACAAGCGAGTCAATGCGAATGCCAGACCTGCATGACGGCATGGTGGCCGTAACTGTAGCTGTTCAGCAGCAGCCTGGCTGGGCGGCTGGGACAAGCCCTTCAAACTGCTGTTGTTCTGCCTTCCATTCCATGGTAAGAAAGGCAGTGGGCGGGCTCCGCAAGAATCTGCATCCCGCACCGTCTGTACACTCGGAAACAATCAAAAATCACGCATCTGCAAGTATTTGGAACTGCTGAAACCTGCTGGCGGTCAGATGCATTGGGTACATCGCTGTACTTTGCTGTGAGACATGACAGAGCAGGGCCCAAATGAAGTCAAATGAAGGGCGAGACCTTCCTCACGACCTGGCAAAAAAGGCAACACATTGATGCGAATCAAAGTGCAAGACTGTTGTTCGGATCCAAGCGGCGCCGCGCCCCTGGCTATAGTGGTACATCGTCGTGTATCCCAAGTGGAAAGGCAGCCAAGCATATTGCAGGAGTTTGCCCAAAACCTTGCAACTTGACAAAGCATGACAGAATTCAAGGACTAGCCTGTCTTCTGCGCGCCTTGTGCACTTCAATGGATTGCTTAGCCAGCCGGTCATTTCTTCGGTCATCCTCCTCAGATCCGCTCGCCGCGGAGCCTTGCCAAGGGTGGCCAGAAAGGCCCATCCTCCTACATTGAGCCCCTGACAAACAGACCTGAAAACATACCAGAGCCTGGAGCCCACTTGAGGAAATATTCGTTGGCGATGCCGGAGACTGGGAGCAGAAGAGCGAAGCCGTAGAACGCACGCAGGCTTTGAGTCTCAATCAGCTGCACAAGTGGGTGCCCGGGGAAGCGGGGCGGGATGCCGCTGCGCAAACGGAAGAAGACACGAGCAAAAAGGGCAACTAGCATGGCAATGCCTGCTTGCTTATGGAACCACAAGAATTGTTTCCGAGTCTGCCCTTCGGTTCTGGAGGCTGCCTGAGCTGTTCCGACAGCACCAAAGATGCCCACTGCCATGATGAGGTGCAGGTGTCGCAAGGCTCGGCTGTAGGTGAACTGTGACAGTGGCTTGCGACTCTGCAGGGTTTTGTAAAGGTACCAGCCCACAGCAACAATGGTGGCATCAAGGGCCTTGTGCCGGATATACCGCTTGACATCTGAAGATGCTTTCCCCACCACCTGCGCGACAGTAGACTGCGCATTCCAATCAGAGCTCTCTCCCGGCAACAGCTGACCCACAAGCATGTCGCGGTCGCGCTGGACTCGAGCTTTCTCGGAGTGCTCAAACACCTCAAAGTCCTTGGTCACGTCGGTGCCTGCTTTGGACAGCAATACGTCGTCGCCACCAGGATGGCTGCCCAGGAGGGACTTCACATTGTAGACCCGATTGTGGATAATCATGTAAAGCTCCTCCTGAGTGTTTGAGCGCTGAGCAACCTCCGCACGAGTGAAGAAGGGCAGCTCGCGGCCAGCTGAGATCTCGGCAAGCTTCGGGAACCGAAGCTCCTCTCCTAAGGTTGGCACATCCTTCCCGGGAACCTTTTGAGCTGCTGCCTTCGCTGCTTCAATTTCTTCCGTAGATGGTCCTTCAAGCTTGCGCAACTCATCCTGCAACTGCCGAAGTTGCTCGATGGTTGGATCGACTGCAGGCTCTTCGCCAATGTCCCCCATTCGCGACTCCGGCCGCATATAGAACTCCATCCAGTTTGCACTCGGAAACCGTCCTGGGATCTTGCTCCACATGGGTGTGGCGTCGCGCCCAGCCCAGGCCAGAATGGCATTGCGCTGCTCCGGGTGGTGCAGGAGGAAATCCGTCAAATCGTAGACGGCACCATTCAAAGCAATCCAACAGTCATGTGGCTTGTTGTGGTGCTCCACCTCTGAAAGTGGGATGCCCCCCCTCAAGCCGCTTAAGCTCTTCCCGGAAAGTGGGACTTCATGAAGATGAACGTGGTCCTGCTCTAAGAGGAGGGCTTTGATAGACTTTTTGATGCCAGCAGCCTTCACGTAGTCTTCAGAGTCCAGCGCCACCCGCTTTTGCGTCTCCAAGTGCTGCAGCTTGGCCCTGAGCTCTGGATTTAAGCTCTTATCCTGTAAGAGACGAGGAATGCTGTCGGCCTTGCTCCGACCTGAGACCTGGCTCAGAAGACGATCCAACTCTTCCCTCACTTCCACAACGCGTGCTTCCCGCAGCGTGTGCCAGAAAGACTCGGACATAAGATTCTCATCCACACCCAACTTGCCGAGGAAGGACTCAGGCCTCAAGTACTGCTCAATTTTGACTCCTTTGTGGATGTCGTTGAAGAACTTGCTGGCGTCCTTCCCCGCCCAGGCGAGAATGGTGGTAGGACCTCCTGGGTGACGGTCCATAAATTCCGACAGGTCATAGACTTTGCCGTTTAGAGCAACCCAACAATCCTCTGGAATGCAATGCCGATTGACCTCTGACAGCGGGATACTAGAAGAAATGGCAGCTGCTGGCGACTTGTGCAGCATGCGCAGCTCACGTGAGGGCAGGGGAGCAGGAACACACCGAAACTCCTGGCCTTGATGAACCATCTTGATGTGCACTTGCAGCTGGGCCTTGTCCGGAAAGGCTTCAGTGCAGTAAGCACAACCTAGAAAGGACTTCACGCGGGAGATTCCCGCCGCCGGGTGCTCGTCAGACTGCGTGGGAGTCATTCGCTCACTCCCGGCGGTTGCCGCGAAAGGAACAGGCGCGGACTATGCTTGACCCAAACTTGTTGCGGTCCCCAAGAGTCAAAGCTTGTCAAAAAATGCTAGTTGCTGGAATCAGGGAATGGCTCTCGACATGCCCGCATCTCCCAAGAAGAAAGTAGGAGCGTCCCAGAGCGCCATAGAACGCATTTTTGCGTACTCCTTTTCTAAACGAGGGTGCCTGATTCTTATGGAATTGTTTTTGATTTGTGGGGTCGGTTTTTCTGGCCTTGCTGGCTCGCCTAGGACATTCTATGTTCGCATGCCATGAAATTGCACTAACTGACCGGACGTGCGGTCAGAAATGCTGTGTCGCGTGTTGAAACTCCAGTATTCTCTGAATTGGTATACACATGTTGAACAATCAGATGACGGCACGGCATATGTAAGTTTGCGAGTACTTTGACTTATGGCTTGGCCTTGGCAGCTCTTCACACACTGCAAGGAGCAATCATATCATGAACCAATTTTGGAAAGAATGTTTGCAATGATAATCAGTGGCAAGCCTGACCATAATCTGCATTGTTGTCGTTGCAGCAGCAGCAGCGGCAGCGGCAGCAGGAGGAGTAGGAGCAGGAGTAGTAGGAGGAGGAGTAGTAGGAGGAGGAGGAGGAGTAGTAGTAGTAGTTGTTGTTGTTAGCAGCAGCAGCAGCAGTGGCAACTGGCAACAGTACAGCATCCTTGCTGCTGCTGCTGCTCGGAAAAATTTTACTGCATAAATAAAGCTTCCGCAGGATCTGCGAGCAGTGGTTCAATCTGTTCATCCCCCTCCACCACACCCCATGAAAACCGGTGTGTCAAGCAGTTATGGAACGTGCGTGACGTTGCTCGCCATCCCCCCACTACTACATATGGCGTTCAACATGAGAAGTTGTACTGGGAAGCAGTCGTGGTCCATTGGAAAAGGGCAAACAAGCGGGATTTCTCAGCATGTTGCTCTCCTCCATTTCTCCGTCATCAGTACATCTGATGGGTTTCGTTCGCCATGCAGGCCTCATGAAATTGAAGCATGCAGAAGAAGAGAAGGAAGCTGGGAGGGTCAAAACGCATGCAAGCTAGGAAGCCAGAAGCGGACGAGCAAGAAAGCCGACCAGCCACAGGAACACAGGAGCCACAACAATTCCACAGGGGAAAGCACAGGGTGAAGGATCAAAAACACATAGGGGATCAACCAAAAATAGTTCTAAAAAAGACACATAAGGATCAAAAAGAAAAAGTGGCTGGCGTAGGAGGGCGAGGCCAAATCCGTGGATCAAAAAAACAAAAAGTGGCTGAACACTTATGAAAACTCATGGGGGGGNNACAAAAAAAAATCTGAGGATCAAAAGAACAAAAACCAGAAAATAGAACGAAGCCAACCCCGAAGATCGAATACAAACAAAAAGTGGATGAACACTCAAGAGAGATGATGAATATAACGAAATTCAATGAAACATATAAACATAGTGGAAATGATGAAAAGTCGTAAAATGATGAAAAAGGAAAGTGACCAAAATACAGGAACATGATGAAAAGCCAGAATAATATTGAACTATGATGAAAATGTTGAAGCATTACGAGAAATCATGAAATGTAGTGCAGAAGATGAGAAATGAGGGAACACGATGAAAGACAGTGGAAATAACGAAAACGATGATGAATCATAAAACATGGCGAACAATTTCGAAATCATGAAAACTCATGAAAATCATCATGAAACACGCATGTGACAAGTGACCAAGAATGCGAAAATAATGAACATGCTGAATGCATAAAAGGGGAAGGACATGAAACATCATGGTGAGAAACATGATGACAGATGCTTGCAC